TTTTTAGGCAACATGTGCCCATGCAGGATCAGATTTACCACGCAATGAAGAAGTCGGGGTGGGAGAAGAGGTTTCAGTATTAGGAGTGGAAGATTGAGTGACATTTTCATTTCCAGAACTTTGATTGTTTGGAATATCCATAACTGCTATTAATAACAAATCAAAAATAATAAAAATGATCAAACACAAACAATAGAGCCACAAGCTTCAGCCTTTCAGGAACCACTTCAAAACACAAATTTGGAATATGCAATGAAAGGCAGAACTAGAATTAGGAACACAAGTACACAACATCAATATTCAGTGAAAGGCAGAACCAGAATATCAGCCAACACAACATCAATATTCGTGAAAGGCACAACCAGAATTAGGAACATTCAGTGAAAGGTAGAACTAGAATTGTCAAATACAAACTACTGGTCGTCTGGTCCACAACCACAACATCAATATCAGCCAACATGCCAAAATATTTCCAATCATCATAAAGAATCATATTAATCCATAGAATGGTAGAAGCAAAACTACTGGTCGGTCCACAACATTAAGATCAGCCAACATGCCAAAATACTTCTAACATTGTTTATTTGTTCTAATTTCACTTCTGTTCAGCATAGCAATTAGTGAATAAAATCAATTAATGAATAGTTAAGTATCGGTATTCAATAAATTAGCGGCAAATCAGCGGCGCAGAGCAACCTGTGACCACCAACTCAACGAGCAGAGGCGCAGAGCCACCCACCAGCACCGCTTCTCCACTCTCCACGGCAAATCAGCGGCGCAGGGACACCGGTCGACCGACTCAATGAGCAAAAATGCCGAATACGGACATCGATTGACCACCAAACTCAACGAGCAGAGCAAACCCCCGGCACTGCTTCTCCACTCTCCAGGACAAATTAGCGACGCAGGGACACCAGTCGACCACTGAACCAAACTCAACGAAGAAGGAAATGCCGAATACGGACCAGACCACCGCGCCTCCACCTCCACCACAAGTCGACGGCGCTGTCTCCACTCTCCACGGCACCGCTGTCTCCACTCTCCACGGCAAGTCGACGGCGCTGCAAGGGAGAACGGCCGGACGCTCAAACTCAGTTACTTAGCGAAATGAAGGACGATGGGAATGGGGGAAGGGATCTGCGATGTGCGATCTGCTCATCTGCCAAGCCAGGACGAAGGAGGGAATGGGGGAACCGGGCATTCGACCGATCGGTCGAGTGTAGGATCGAACGACAGCGTCCCAAATTTTTTTTTTAATATGATATGACGTTCGTTTTGGGCAGTTTGAGGAGAAAAATATATAACTGGTCAACCCCCCAAACCGGGCGGTTGACCGGTTTATTACTAGTTCACTTGGTGACCAGTTTTCTTGTTAAACCAGACCGGACTTTGGACCGTTTCAACCGTTTTTCCGGTTGAACCGGCGGGTCCGGTCCGGTTTTTTTTCATTGATATAGACATATAGTAAAAGATGTCAATTTTTTTAAATAATTTTTACTACACAATTAAAACTCAAACTAATCAGTCATCATGCATGCGCGCGCATTAATTAGATGAAACAAGCCATTATATTAGATTAAGCTCTTCATGTTAAAAGTACTCCTTCTAGTCTTCATTATAAACTTCAAGTAACTAATTTACAGATAACTTTGACAAAAAAAAACTAATTTACGGATAAAAATAATTAGTTTAAAACAGTAAACGGGTTAGAAATAGATTTTTGTTTTCAAATATATTCTTATAATAAATGAGAAAAAGAATAAAAAAACATGTGGGAAAATGCGATAAAAGAGAAATAAGTAAGGATAATACTGAAAAAATATATAAATGTTAAGACAAAAACAAATTAACTCATAAAATAACCACATGTCTTTTCAAATTTAAAACTTATAAATAAATACAGGGAAAGTAATTAACTAAACGGGGGCTAGAAATAGAATCATTTGGTGGCGTCTTTGTCCTTTGGTCAAAATAGGAATTCAGTCCTTTCCAACGATCGGTGTATGTTGAACTGGTCAAAGGTCGTTCGGTAGGATTCAGATTCGAGGATCTGTTCAAAGATCCCCCCATCCACGTACTACTGCATCATATTCTTGGTTTGAGAGTCCAAGAGAGCCCCCCCGCTTCACTCAGGACAAATTCACTCGAAGACTACAACGAAGTTGCTGAGAAATCTCCTAAAATGAATGGTCTAGATGAATTTGCAAACATGCAACTCCACGTCTAGTTTAGACTATTCCGATTAAAATTAAATTAATTAAATTAAATTATGTGCATTTATTTTTGAAATACTGCCTTTTAATTATTATTTTTAAAATAGAAATAAATTCAAACTTAAGGATTTTATTTTGCCAACGAAAACTTAATAAGAATTTTAAATAATATAAATTCGTTGTCAAAAAAATATAAATTCATTTACTATTCAAATTAACTTTTTATTTACAAAATAATTATTTCATGCCGTATTTTAAAACGATGGCGAAAACTATTCAAAGAGGAAATATCTGGTCTTTCTGAAAATTTCCCAGTTACATCCTTCCGTGTATGCTAGCGAAACGAGACAGGTGGACTGGAACATTCGAGGCTTGAATCAATCAAAGCAAGCTTAGGCTTTCTTTCAGACCAAGTCTCTCTAGTGAATAATCACCGACATACCGTTAAGTTCATACGCACATTCATTAGGGACAAAAGCATATAAATAAAACGAAGGTGGCACCCATTAAGAACTCAGAACTGACTAGCACTAGCTTCTTCATTTTCTTTTTCTTCAGTATCCTGCCGCACATATACAGCACTTTTATGAGATGGCGAACCCAATTACAATCGCTATGGCTTCCTCATGATGATTTCTTGTGTTGTGTTGCTAATAGCTCCGACTGGTGCTGGAGATGATGATGGAGGGAAGAAGTTGATAATTGGACTTCCTTATTATAAATCAGGTTTCGCCCAGTTTGTGGATGTACAAATCGATCCTACTAATAACAATAATCAGGTCGTCCAGGCTAGCGGCTATTCTATTGCCGTCTTCAATGCTACAATAGCCTACCTTACGCGTTTACATCACGGTATTTCTTTCGAGTTTAGAGCTTTCGTAAACAACAATGGAAGCAGTGCTGGGTATTATGACGCACTTGTCTCCCAAATTTCTGCAGAAAAGGTGAGATGTTATTCAAACTTGCAGAATGTCAATGTTCTTCACTATTTGCTGGTGTTCTCAATTTATATCCTTCATTCTATTGTGTCATAACCATGAATGCACACACAGACATTAACGGCTATCTTTTTTCCAATGAATAGTATGACGCTGTGGTGGGAGACGTGACGATTTTGGAAAATCGGTTTAACCATGCAGATTTCACGTTGCCATATACACAATCTAATGTGAAGATGCTTGTGAAAATCCGGCATGATCCACGGTTGAACATGTGGATTTTGTACGACCGTTTAATTGGAGTCTTTGGTTGTCTATTGCTATCTTCTCTGTTTTTATAGGAGGTATCATAATATTCATGGAACGTAATGTCAGAGAGATTCGACACTTGAAAATTCATCATGCAGGAAAAAATTCAGTGGGGTTTTCTCCTGTGGCTTCCTGTTGTGCAAGCAGTTTTTCCCGAAAGTGAGTATTAAACCTTGTTCTCTCTCTCTCTCTCTATATATATATATATATGCGCATATATAGGTTTGTGTCCTCGATGTTATTCGTTTAATTACTATTTAGTCTTCAAAATTTTCATTTGTTTACTATTTGCAGGAGAATCACTGGCCAAAAATTGCTCTAGGTTTGTGCTGGTGATGTGGTTGATATTGGTATTGTGCTCATGCAAAGCTACACAGCATGCTTATCATCTATCTTAACGGTACATCAATTACAACCTCGATACCTTAGTGAGAATGATGTTGCAGAAGATTCCAACATTAATGTTGGATACCACAGTGGCTCATTGTGAGGGACTTATTGGTTGATAACTTGATGATCAATAGTTCAAGGGTGAAGAACTACTCCTCCATTAAAGACTATAAGGAAGCCTTAGACAAAGGAAGCCATAATGGTGGTGTCGATGCCATTTTTGATGAAGCTCCCTACTTTAAGGCCTTCCTCAAACAGTATGGCTCCAATTATGCCGTGGTTTCAACTAAGCACCATGCTGCTGGATTTGGTTTTGTGAGTTTCCATCTCCATTTCTTTGCTTCTCTTGTTGTCTCATTTATATTTAAGGTTACTGTCTCTGACATGTCTCTGTTGAATCATTTGAATGATTTTTCAGGCATTTCGTAAGGGCTCCAACTTAACCTCGCACTTTTCGAAAGCCATATTAAATATTAGGGAGAGTAATGAAATGGACGGCATTGAGGAGAGATATTTTGGAAGCAGCGATGACGATGGAAACAAAGATCAATCAAATTCATCATCAAATGCGAGTCCCCAGTCTTACTGCTTATAGTTTTGCAGGTTTGTTTATGGTAATTGGAACATTTTCATTGTTGGCTTTAGCAGTCTCTGAAAATCATATATGGCGAAAACCTGTTATGCTCGCAAAGACTTATAGCCAACAATTTTTGAGTCCGAATTCAACAAGAATTAATCCATTAGAGGAAACTTCTACCAGAAATGTTGACAACGAATGTTCTGCAGACACAAAAAATATTGGATCTGCAGAAAATGAAGCAGATAATAAAACATTGCCTGTGTAAGTGTGTTTGTATAGAGTGATGGCAGGCCATTTTTGCGGTGCCCGTTCGTTAGTTAGGTTTTAGTATTCATGTTTGTTGTTAAGAGTTAACAAGGCCTATCATACCATGTGTAGATTCTTTTTTTCTCTCTCCTTTTCTTGTGACTAATTTGCATTACTTTATTGTGGAGAAAAATATTACATCTGTACACAGCAAAGTATATAATGGATTTAATAATAGAAAAGAACATATCTACTCTTCTGATTCTAAATGTAAGTTACACTATAAAATGGGTCCTAAAGAGTTAAAAAAGAGTTTAGACTGTTTCTGCAAACTTGAAAATTAACCGTATCTACTCATGACACAAATCGATCAGCAGCACATAAAGAGAGTCAATGAATTATTACTTTGCTCAAGATAAAGTGCGGAGCGAGTTTTTGAAATTAGATGGAATCTCCCATTTGTGCTAACTAGCTGCCATCAAGTGAAAACCTATATCAATATGAGAAAACCTAAAATCATTATTGTCAAGGAAAATTGAAAATCTTGAACAGATCAGTTGAACATATTTTTATTATTTTGCTTTTCTTTTACTGATAATAAACTAATTTTCAAAGGGACGCAAACGTTTTCCCTTCACTTTCCCTGTATTATTTTCCAACCAAATATGCCTTGGCCTTTACGTCTTCAATCTGGTAACTTCAGCTCAGGCCAAGATAAAAAAAGTCTCGTTACTGCCACAACAAGTTAATGTTCGCCGCAAAAAGTCAAGCTTAATTTTGTCTTTTGTCCGCGGAAACAGATGACCACGTTAACAAGACAACCTATAAATATCACTTGCGTCATTTGTTGTTATATTTATCATGCTATGTACTAAATCCCCACAAAAGTCTCATAAATTAAAGCCTTAAAGGGCCCTCCGAGGAAATTGTATGCCAACATCACCATCGATCGAAATTTCAAGGAAATTAACCACCCATCTCAAACTTCCTCTCTTTTCATACTCCCCTCCAGAAAAAAAAAAAAAAAAAATCTGCAGCTGAATGATACCAAGTGAAGATATGAGTAATCCGGGTGAATGGACCAAGTGACTTGATTTAATTCCTGAACCATGTTCTGTATTTATAGGCTAAAAGTGACAAAGTGTTAACAATACTACAGCTATGATTAAGTTCCAGGGCAAATCGTTATGAGATCCCGAGAAATAACTGCAATTACTAAAATGTCTCAATGATAAGTAAGCATTATAGATATTGTTATCATTTCTTATACTAAAATTTATCATTTAATTTATTTATTGTAAGTATGCTGATTTTTCCTAACGTGAGACCATACATAACTATAACTGACTTGTGGCGTATCCTAACAGGGCATTTCAAGCCCACAACTGGTTTCTATTTAGTTTGTTGTTTCTGTATTGGGCTTCGGCCCGTCTAAACCAAAACCAAAAAGGGGAAAAAGGAAAAAGAGAGCATAGTTTGATTACCGAACTATATAAGCCTCATCTTATATGGCGTTTTGTTAATTTGTTTTGGACTAAGCAAAATGTGACTGTTCATAAAGGTTGTATAAACAATCCAGAACAAGTCATTTAAAATTTCCAAGACTATTTTCAATACCTAATAAAAATTTATAATTAGAAATATCTTTCAAGTAATTCTGAAGCTCCTCCTTCAACTCCTATCTCTTTTCTACCTAAACTCCGACTGCATTCAGAACATTCGCAGATTTGCATAGCACTGGACAATATTCATGTGCAAGGTTAAGATTCAAAGACATGCCTCTTGTATTACCACAATTTTTCTTGGTTGTAAAGAAATATAGACTTTCAGATAGGTGAAACTTCAATCTTTATATCCTTTTCTGTTTTGCCTTTCTTGTTTGAAACTAATGTTGCATTGGGTTACTCAAGTTGAGCCAACTTTTTCAACATTCTTGAATCATATCAATGTCATCACATGCCAGAAGAATTTGCCCAATGATCCTTTTGTCCATTCAAATTTCAATATTGGCACGTTACAAAAAGATGTTTTCACTGCTTTACTCTTTTTCTAGCTGCTACTCTTTTAAAACTGATATTGTGTTAACTTTTCATTCCCTTGTTTCTGTTATTCCAACTTTAGTTGTATAATTTTCTACTTTTATAAAATTCATCTTTTTTATCAGAATTTTTTTCCCGGATATCCACAGATCTCAGGCCACGTAGGTATGCTTGGCTGAAAACATTTTGATAGAGATAAAAAAAAAATCAGTATAACATATATATGATACAATCATTTTAGCCGAGCCAACTCACACATCCAAACTATTCCTCTCTTCTTTAATTGTTCACAACAACGGCGACAGCTTATACTAGAGAACTTCTGGCTCACGTATGGGGAGTGCTGCAAGATTATTTGATGACAATGATAGACTTGAGTTTCAAGTTTCAAAATTTCCACCACGCTCATTGTTTCATATATACTTTCATCATCCCTTCTCTCTCTCTTCATTTCCTCTTTTTACTTTCTTGAGGCATATCCGCTGTTTCTTTATTTCTCTTGTTTCTGTCTGCCTCGTTGAGCGGGTCGCTGCCAATGGTAGCTCCACTTTTGCCAAAATAAAGAGAAGCCTAATTACAGGTTTAAGGAAGAAATTTTCTGGGATGCCTTTATGACCTTGGGTGAGATTGCTAAAAATATGTCTTAAAAGCGCTCAACATAACAATGACCTAGTATTAATTGCTTGATTTGAACGGAAAAATTCAAGGAATAAGAAGAGGATGAGACGAGAGGTTTCAAAGGTGGGGTTTTTGTTCATTCTTCCTCATTTTTCAAGGTCTGCTCGCTGCTCACTCTCTTTCATCCCCACCTTCATGTTGTTTTCCATTTTTATTTTTCGCTGTTTTTCTCACCGTCTTCTTCTTCATTACAAAGTTTTTGGAGAAGTTACCCGTTCGGAACCCAACGAGGCAACGACTTTAGGTGAGTCCAGCTTCTTATGGCATTAATGATTATAGGCAGGCTTTTAATAGATTAGGTTCGTATTTATCTTTTCCCTCGCAGTCTATTCCTATCTATAAGTGGCTTGTATTCTAAGCCCACAGATCAATAAATGTATTAATTTTTTTTTTCATATTTGTCCTTATTCAAGAAAGGGTACTAAAGATATATTTTATAGTTTTTCTCACTTATTTACTTTATCTCTCTTTGTATTTATTAAATCAGTAAGAGTAAAATTGGAGAAAGCTCATTAATTATGCTCTACAAGCAACTTATATTTAAAAACAAATTTTTTCTATACAAGTGACATGTAAATAGAAATTGAGTAGTATTTAGTTGCTTATAGAATCCAATCACCATGATTACAATAAAGATAATTTTTAACCTTTATCTAAAGAAAAGGTTATTCTCCCTTTGTCAACATGTCTATGCTAGGTTGACAGATACATTTATGTTCTATTAACAAACCGTCTATTTACTCAGTTAAATTTCTTGACTAGCACATTTTTATCAATAGTTCACAGATTAATTTAACTATCTCAAGTTTAAACTAATCAAACAATCAATCCTAATGATGGCCAGTCACAAGGAAGCATTAAGCACAAGGTAAAAACAACTGAATATTATCATTAATACTCAAGAGATAGTAAATCCAAGTCTCAATCCATATAATAGATCAAATAACCTTAGAAAAACTGATTTAGCTATACATGTTTAGTAAGAAGTCACAACTATAAGAATAGCTATTAGCCATTACAGAAACAAGAAGGGAAGAAGAAGGAAACCCAGAAAAATCGAGTAAAAATCTTCAAATCTCTTCTAGCTTCGAGCCCAAAGATTTCAAGCCTCTAAAGCTTTAAACCCTAGCATAGCAAGCCTCTAAAATTGCCCCAAAGCCGAAGTGTGTATGGCAAAACCGAGTCTCCCCCTGTATATGCCCTAATTTTTAATTTACATCATAAAACGCACAGCTGCGAGGGGTCAGGCGCCGCGACGTATGTTGTCATCCACCGTGGCGGATTACACAGAATGGCTTTCCTGGAAGTAGCTTTGGCACTGAGGCGTGTGTGATCATAGGCCACGGCGGATTACACCGAACAGGGGCTCCTTTGGGATAGCTTGGGCGCCGCGGTGAATATGGTTAGGAGCCGTGGTGTCTCACACAGAAGTGCACTCCTTCCTCTCTATTAAAGCTATTGTGGCATTTGTTCCCATGCGCCGCGGTGATTGGTCTCTTTTTAGCCTCTCCACTTCTGGTCTCCATTCCTTACTCACTTCAGGCTTTTTCCTACAAAATTGACTTCCAAACCAAACAAAAGAGCACTAAAACAAGTTGAATGAATAGGAATTTTGAGAGGTTATTAGAGGTTTCCAAGAACTAATTGATTCATCAGAGGAAGGTTCTAGAGGAAGAAGAAGAAATTGGATCAGATGGCAGAGCAGATAACCAAGGAAAACTCTCTCTATGACATCTCTTTCTTTCTGGTTTTTAGGGTCAAGTCTCTAAGACAGCTCTTACATGTGCAGATACTCAAACATTGCCTTAAATGAGGGTCAAAAAATCATATAAAAGTCTTTTCAAAAAAATGTCTAAAAATCTCTTCTTTTATGCATTTATCTAATTATCACTCTTCCGATTCTAAATATAAAACCCATTTTATAATGTAATTTATGCTACAAAATGGGTTTTATATATTGGACAGTTGCTCGAAATATTTTCATGCATGTTATGGCGTTTTGCTTCCCGTCTCTTTGGACGTTAGTAGGAGGACGGGTCAAAGGTAGTTAATGAACACTTTGAACTGGGTCGACTTTAAGATGGCCTCTCGGCCACTCGGGTCAAATTATCTCGCGGATGGCTATAACGAAGTTGCTGAGAAATTAATTTTCCTAATTAAAATAATCAATGGTAAGCATCGTTCATCTAGAACTTGCAAACATGCGAGTCCACATCTAGTTTAGACTATTTTTTATTAAGTTTAAATTATTTAAATTTTATATCACACTTTAAAAAAGCATAATGAAATGCTGTCATTTAATTACTATTCCTTAAATTTTTATTTAACATAGAAATAAAAGCTCAACTATTAAATACTAAAAACTTGAATAACATAAATTAAGTTGTTATTTACGAAATAATTATATTATGCCGCATGTTTTCATCATTAAAACGATTGCGAGAAGTATTCAAAGACGAAGTATTTGGTCTTTCTCAAAATTTCTAGGTTCAACCTTCAATGGATTCTTCAGCGAACGCGCGAGACAGCTGGCTGGACCGGAACATTTCATCAGGCTTGAATCAATCAAAGCATGCTTATGCTTTCTTTCTGCAGGCTGACATCATTTAGTTAGTTCATAGGCACGTTCATTAGCTAAAATAACTGTATAAATAAAGCTAAGGTGGCAGCAATCAAGAACCAGCTCGAAACTAACTAGCTAGTTTCTTAATTATTTCTTCACTTTTCCTACCGCATGTATATCAGATGGCGAACCCAAATTACTATTGCTACGGCTTCCTCATTATGATTTCTCCGGTTGTGTTGTTAATTGCTCCGATTGGTGCTGGAGATGATGATGGAGGGTCACTCCTGGGAGGGAAGAAGTTGATCATTGGACTTCCTTATGAACCAGGCCACACCCAGTTTGTGAATGTTGTGCAAATCGATCCTACTAATAACAATCAGGTCATCCATGTAAGGGGCTATTCTATTGACGTCTTCAATGATGCAATAGCGTACCTGCGTCTACATCACAATGTTTCTTTCGAGTTTAGAGCTTTCGCAGACCCCAGTGGAGGAAGCAGTGCTGGGTATTATGACGCCTTCGTCTCCCAACTTTCTGAAAAGGTTAGATGCTTTGTACACACACACACATCATCATCATCATCATCATCGAGATCTCAGTGTGTTGTTGCTGAAATAGAGAGAAAAGTACGTCCGACGTCTCTATGAACATGGGTTTCATAGGGATCGGGTTCATCCTCTCTCTCCATGTCAGCACCACTACAATTTAAGAGTTCTACTTCCATGGTTCATGTTGGTTTCACCTTACGTATATTGAGCTGACTAAAAAAAAAAAAAATCCAGAGGCGTGTCCGTTCCTCTAAGCACCAAATTAAACATAATTTTAAAGCACGATTAAAATTAAACTTGACACCAAGCTTATTAATCCAACCTAACTTTGTGTACATCCAAACAGCTCAAATATTTATGATGGTGTTGGTTAATATTTTTGCTCGACACCAACTTAATTGCTTTGCAAGTTTTATCTTACCCTTGTTTGGCTTGGAATCGCGTTTTTCTCCAATCAGGAAGTCATGGTCGGTTATATGAATGCGTTCTTCACTGTTTGCATGGCGTTCTGAATTTATTCTTCATTCTATTTGGTGCCATATAACCATCAAAACGCACAACGACATTAACTTCAACATCTTCATTTCCCTTTTCCGTTAATTAATAGTATGACGCTGTGGTGGGAGACGTGACGATTTTGGCAAGTCGGTCGAACTATGCAGATTTTACGTTACCATATAAACTAGCTAATGTGCAGATGCTTGTGAAAATCCATGATCCACGGTTGAATATGTGGAGTTTTGTACGACCGTTTAGTTGGAATCTTTGGTTGTCTATCGCTATGTTCTCTGCTTTTATAGGAGCTATCATACTATTCATGGAACGTAATGTCAGAAAAGATTCAACACTTGAAAATTCATCATGGAGGAAACGATGCATTACAGGGGGTTCTGTCCTGTGGCTTCCTGCTGTGCAAGCAGTTTTTCCAAAAAGTGAGTATTAAACCCTGCTCTCTGTCCCTCTCAATATATATACATATGGTCTCAATATATATACATATGGTTGTGTCCTCGATGTAATTTGTTTAATTGTATTATTAGCTTTCTTTTCTCCCTGAAGTAACGCTTTGATCATTTCCTCTTTCAGAGACATACATAAACATTTTAGTTTTCAGAGAAAGGATATATATATATATATATATATATAATAAAATCTATAATATGGGTTATTGGCCAGAAAAGCCTGGTAAATTTTTATATACAGGAAGTAGTAATACTCTACAAATTCTATACATTAGGTTATTCTCATCAATAAAATTTTTAATGGGAAACTTTACATATCTCCAATTTTTCTTATTACTTACAGCCATAAAAATGCATGAGAAAATGTAATTAGTTATAAGAATGAAAAGAGAAATCTATATAATTTCAACAAAATTAAGAAACGTCTATATGATTTATCTAAAAGAGTTATTTATTACTTATATTTTTATGTTCAATTATCAAATTTGCATTTGTTTACTACTTGCAGGAGAATCATTGACCAAAACTTCTTCTAGGTTTGTGCTGATGATGTGGTTGATACTGGTATTTGTGCTCATGCAAAGCTACACAGCATGCTTATCATCGATCTTAATAGTGCATGAGTTACAACCTCAGTACCTTAGTGAGAACGATGTTATAAAGGATAGCAACATTAATGTTGGATACAAAAGTGGCTCATTTGTGGGAGACTTGTTGGTCAATAAATTGACAATGGGTGATGAGTCAAGGGTGAAGAATTACTATGGCATTGAAGAATATAAGGAGGCTTTAGACAAAGGAAGCCATAATGATGGAGTCGATGCTATTTTTGATGAGTCTCCCTACTTTAAGACCTTCCTCCACCGGTATGGCTCCAAGAATTATGCCGTGGTTGGAACTAGTCTCCATTATGGTGGATTTGGTTTTGTGAGTTTCTATCTCTATTTTTTGGTTTGTTTATACACTTAATTTTTTTATATTTGTATTTTTTAAAACTTAGAGTTGAAAGTTTGTTTTGAAGGTTTCTATATTTTACCTTTAAAAAAAAAAGAAATTATTTTTTAAAATATAACATTTAAAACAAATCCAAATCATTTATGCTTTCTAAATTCAGATATATTGACAATATAATACATAGCTAGCGTTGTTGTTGTAACAGCAGCAGGGTAAGTGTGCTTCTCTTGTCGTCTCATTTATATTTAAGGCTGCCATTTGTGACATGTCTCCGTTGAATCATTTGAATGATTTTTCAGGCATTTCGTAAGGGCTCCAACTTAACCGCATACTTTTCTGAAGCCATATTAAATATCACCGAGAGTAATGTAATAATGAAAAGGATTGAGGAGACATATTTTGGAGACAGCGATGATGATGATGGAAAAGAAGACCTATATAATTCACCATCACATGACGTTAGTCCCAGTCTTACTGCTTACAGCTTTGCAGGTTTGTTCGTGGTGATTGGGATTCTTTCACTGTTGGCTTTGCTAGTCTCTGAAATGCTCGCAAAGGTTGATAGCCAACGATTACTGAGTCCGAGTTCTGCAAGATTAAGTCCATTAGAGGAAGGTTCTGAAACAAGAAATAATGTTGACGAAGAATGTTCTGCAGACACACAAAATATCGGATCAGAAAATGGAGGAGATAATAAAACATTGCCCGTGTAAATGTGTGCGCGTGCGCGCGCAGTGATGGCAGATATTAGTTTTAGGCTGTAAAAAGTAACGTTCGAGTTTTTTATTAGAGTTGAGGTCTATGATACCATGTCTGGATTCTTTTTTTTTCTTGTGAGTTATTTGCATTATTTTCTTGTCCAAAAACAGTTACAATGGCTTTAATAATTATTCAAGTAGGAAAGGAAAATATGTTATACCTTCAGTCCTTAACATAATAATTAGTCCTTAATATAAGAATTAGTTTGACTTTCAATTTAGTCCTAAATATAATACATTAATCTACTTTCTCTCTCATATTTATTTATTTTTTAAAGTAATCCTTGTAATAATTGCACATATTAAATATTGAATCAAATAGTAGTTTTAGTTAATACATGATTGATGAGAAAGTAACAATAACGAAAGAGAGAAGATCGCTGCCAATGGAGACTGAAACTCTCTCCAAAACTGGTGGTGGCGGTGGCATCCAAGAGGATGGTGACCCAACCAAACGGCGAAAGAAAAAATACAAGAACGTGAGCGGTGAACAAGAAGGTGACAATAGCGAAGAATCTGCGAAGGAAGAAGCTGAATCATTTAGGGATAAATTGCTTGGAATGCAACATGCTGTTTCAAGTGACAAGAAGGGAAGCCGGGTATTTGATGATGCCTGGAATGAATACCTCGAAAGTTTGAAAGGCTACTTCATCAATGGGGTGGCCGAACAAGACCAGGATCAGATGGAAGATGAGGACTGCCCGACCCTTAGAGTGCCTCAAGAGGAATATGAACGTTGGTGCGCTCCATGGAGGAAGTCGCTCATTGTCAAACTCCTCGGCAAATCTATTCCATTGTGGCTAATGAAACAGAACCTCGCGCGCCTGTGGAAGACAAAACATGCATACACCACAAGGGACCTAGATAATGACTTTTTCGTTGTTTCATTTGAAGATGAAGATGATATGAACCAGATCCATCAAGAGGGTCCTTGGATGATAGCAGATCACTATCTCATTGTGCAACGCTGGAGACCCAACTTTGATCCCTGGGAAGCTGAACTTCAGAAAAAAATTGCAGTTTGGATGCGGATACCCCTGCTCCCCCTTGAGTTTTTCAACAATGAAAGCCTGAGGTTAATTGGAAGACTGATCGGTAGGACTCTGAAGGTTGACAAGATCACTTATGCTAGTGAGAGAGGACGTTTTGCTAGAATCTGCGTTGAGTTGGATCTCAGGAAAAAACTAAAATCAGCCATCAACGTGTTTGGGAAGAGACGGATCCTAGAGTATGAAGGATTACACCTAATATGCTTTCACTGCGGTAAGTACGGTCACCATAGAGATAACTGTCTAGATAATACTCAAATTCCAATATCCAAAGAAACCGTTGCCCCCAAACAAGCCAACGTCGATGGATCAAGAAACATTGCTAAAGTCAATGTGGACTTGAACTCGGAACCAAATGACCCACCTGCTCATCAGGCACCTTGCCACAACGTGTCGGAAAGCGGAATACCGAAGCGCCCAAATGAGGATAAGGAAGCAGAAGACTTTTCCGGCAAGCACGCAGCACCGTCGACGGAGGGCCTTGGGGTCTGGAACCTGGTGCAACGGTCAAAAGGTAAAAAATTAGGAAACAATGCAAAAGGAGGATCTGGTATTAATAACCAAGAGAAAATCATGAAGAAAGCTATCAATCAGGTTCAGGATCGCGTCATTCAGGGAGCAAAAAATATGGAGTCGCAGAATAGGAAAGAAGGTGAGAGATCCTCGCATGCAAGTAATGGAAACCCAAAAAATTTTGGGAAGGAATTCTCAACCAATATGAAGTGGGTCCCGGTGGATCAATTCAATAATTCTAAAAACAAAAACATCAAGGCGGATAAAAGGAAAAGTCAACCTAAATTGCAAACCAACAATCCCATTGCGTCTCCTCCCTCGAACGTGATATCAAACTTTTGGCAAGCTCAAAACCCTTTTGCGGCACTCTTGAATGTTAATGAGAACGGGTCTGAGTTTGATAAAACCAAGGAACTGGAAGGGAGATCAAATAACACGATGACTACTCAGGAAACCTCAAATCCTATGGATATTGTTTTAACATCCATCTCGACTTCACCTAATGGGAGTTACTCCGACAGGGAGATGATCATGGCTACGCGCGCACACGTCTCTGAAAAGCCAGATAACCTGAACGGTGATATGACTACTTCTCATGAGAGCAACAAGGGGTCTATAAGCATGAACTCCCCTATACCTTCAGTACCATGAACTGTATCTTTTGGAATTGCAGGGGAACGGGGTCCAAGGCTTTTCCAGGACTCATTAGAGAAATTAAAAAAAAATATAGAGTTGACTTTTGTGCACTCTTTGAGACCAAATCTGGTGGCGATAAAGCAAAACAAATCAGTAAAAAGCTTGGGTTTGAACATTGCGAAATTGTTGATGCGTCGGGATTCAAGGTGGCTTATGGGTGTCTTGGACTAACGAAAACTTCTCTATCAAAGTTCTTGAAGTGAACGATCAATATATTCACGTGGTGGCTGAAAAAAATGACGACAAAGTTTATGTTACTTCAGTTTATGCGAGCCCGAATAGCACCATCCGTCGCTCTTTGTGGGGTAAACTCACCCAGCTTGACCCAGGTAATCAGTGGCCGTGGTTTATTGGAGGAGACTTCAACGCGACCCTATTCTATCATGAGCGCAAATCCAATGCAGCCAAAGTAACCCCGATGGATAGAGATTTTTGCAATTGGGTTAGCCAGTTACAATTATCAGATATGGGTTGCTCGGGACCTTTTTTCACTTGGAAAAGGGACAAGTGTGAAAGCAGAATTGACCGAGTTATATCGAACTCAAGAGCAAGGAGCACTTTTATTGATGCTATTGTCAAAAATCTCCCATGGTTTAAGTCAGACCATCGCCCTATCTTGCTCCAGCTTCGGTATGGTATGTTCCCTAAGAACTTTATTTCTCGACCTTTTCGTTTTAATGCACCTTGGGTTCTCCATGATGACTTTAGCAGGTTAGTGAAGGAAAATTGGAAGGACAACAGTAACTGGAATGAAAATGTCGACAGCTTCACTAAAGAACTCATTGATTGGAGCAAAAATGTCTTTGGCCATATTGGAAAAAAGAAGAGTATACTTATGGGTAGACTTGAGGGCATCTCACGGTCTATATCCAATACCGGTATATCTTCCTCTTTGGAACAACTTCAGAAAAAGCTTTGGCTAGAACTAGAAGAGGTGATCATTCAGGAGGAACTTCTATGGGCTCAGAAAGCCAAATGTGATTGGTATAATCTTGGTGATAAAAACTCCAAATACTTCCATGCAAGAGCTAATGGGCGGCGACGACGCAATAAAATTGAAGCTCTCAGGCAAGATAGTGGAGAATGGACAGACAATATTGAGGTAATAAAAAAGGTTGCTACTGATTTCTTTATTAACTTGTTTCAAGATGATGGATATAATGACAGGTTGAATGAGAATAGAGTTTCCTACCCTGAGCTCGAGACTATGCATCTTGCAGAACTTGCGAAAGAGATCAATGGAGAAGAGGTAAAAGCTGCCCTTTTTAGCATGGGCGCTCTGAAATCCCCTGGCCCTGATGGTTTAAATGCTTTATTTTTTCAAAGTCAATGGGGATTGGTAGGTAAATCTATTATTGAGCTAGTTAGAGAAGCCTTTGCTAATCCTTCATCTATTAAAAATATTAACCATACTTTTATTGTGCTTATTCCTAAAAAAGACCATCCAGAGACTATTCGGGATTTTAGACCGATTAGTCTGTGCAATGTGATCTATAAAATTATTACTAAAGTGGTGGTTAATAGGATGAAGAATTTTCTTCCTCAAATTATTTCTCCTAACCAGTGCAGTTTTGTTCCGGGGCGTACAAGCTCAGATAATATTATAGTGGCGCAGGAGGTGATTCATTCAATGAATAATATGTCTGGAAAAAGAGGCTTTATGGCAATAAAAATTGATTTGGAGAAAGCCTATGATCGGATTAATTGGAATTTCGTCTTAGCTTGCCTTGATGAAATTAAAATGCCCAATTCGATTAAAAATGTCATTTATTCTTGTATATCCTCTCCTTCGATGCAAATTCTTTGGGAAGGCGACAAAGCAAATATCTTTAATCCCTCTCGAGGACTTCGTCAAGGAGATCCACTCTCTCCCTATTTGTTTGTGCTCTGCATGGAGAAACTCGCTCACATTATACAAGCTGAATTGAACTCTGGGAGATGGCGAGCCATTAAACTAGGTAAGTATGGCCCTCCTATATCCCATTTGTTTTTTGCTGATGATTTGTTGATTTTTGCAGAGGCTAGTCTAGAACAAGTATCGGTTATTAAGGAGTGCCTACAAAATTTTTGCAAAGCTTCAGGACAAAAAGTGAACCAAGGAAAAACTCGAGTCTTTTTCTCCAAAAATGTCAACCACACTAGAGCTCACCAGCTTAGTGAGGAACTGGGATTTATGCAGACTGCTAATCTTGGAAAATATCTTGGGGCTCCCCTCCACCATGAACGTGTCTCAAATAGCACCTACCAATTTATTATTGATAAAATCAAAGGCCGTCTCAGTGGTTGGAAAATTAATAATCTATCATTTGCTGGACGTGGTACTCTTGTCAGTTCTGTAATAAATGCTATGCCTTCCTACGCTATGCAAACGGCCTACATCCCGGATAGCACTTGCAAGAAAATTGAGAAGCAAGCCCGAGATTTCTTGTGGGGCTCCTCAGATGACAAGCGAAGAATGCACCTCATCTCTTGGGATGGTATCTGCATGGACAAACAAATGGGAGGCCTTGGTATGAAGCACATTAAACAGCAAAATAGAGCGTTCATGATGAAGCTCGGTTGGGGCCTAGTTACCAAACGCGATGCCCTTTGGGTTAAAGTGATCCGTCACAAGTATGGCTGTGGAAACGACCTTATTCCTCATATCAATGCTCAAAAAACTGGCTCAAATACATGGAGAGGAATCAAGAGCAATTGGAACCATGTGAAGGAGGGCATTGAAGAAAAGGATGATAGGGAGGGCGGTAAGGTAGCTCGATGGAAATGGCATAAGAGTGGTACGTTCTCTACTAAATCAGCTTACGCTGTTCTAAACCCCCCAAGCCTTCCCACCCATATAAGCTGGAAGAATATTTGGAAGATGAAAATTCCTCAACGCTGTAAAACTTTTACTTGGCTCCTCCACCACGAGCGCCTTATTACCAACAAGCGCAAACTAAAACGGGGACTCCATCATAACGGTCTCTGTGATAAATGCAAACACGAGGTGGAAGATGAACTTCATGCACTACGTGATTGTCCAGATAGTAAACGCCTCTGGGAACCCTTTGTTAAACCAGAATATTATCACAGGTTCTTCTCTGTTGAAACCCAGGACTGGCTCCGGTTGAATCTTTCAAGGAACGTCAGCCAAATAGAGGGTGAATGGAAGTGTATGTTTTCTGTCTTGTGTTGGCTGATTTGGAGGGCTAGAAATGAACTAACTCATTTAAACAAGGTGACCGAGTTTTCCGTTCTCCCAACCCAAGCGCAAGCGATACTGACTTGCATGAAACTCACGGCAACTAAGTTGCGGGGAATAAACATGAACACTACTCAGCGCCATGTGTCACAGCAGGTGAATACAGATATGGGTGACAAGCTGATTGTGGAAGTTGATGGGGCCTTCTCGGTGACCCAAGGTACAGTTGCCTGTGCTGGTGTTCTAAGACGACACAACAACGAGCTAGTGGAGGGATTTCTTCACAAGCTAGATCACGGGGACCACCTCACGGCAGAGTTATGGGGTTGTTTGGTGGGTCTTAAACGAGCCTGGGACCTAGGGGAGCGTGAGATTATATTACTTAGCGACTCTACAGAGGCCATTCAACTTATCGCTGGAGGTGACAGCAGCTTACACACTGAAGGAGAAGTCATCCAGGAACTCCAGAGTATGCTCGAATGGAATTGGAAAGTAGAACTCCAGGTTGTCAGCCGTGAGGACACCCGAATGGCTGACTCCCTCGCAAAGTTTGCTCTTAATGGTGCAATGGGTCTCCAAGTTTTAAGCTCGATTGCGGTGCAGACGATCATTGCGTCTCCTAGTCTTGTTTAGCCTTTTCCCCTTTCAAGTGTATCAAAAAAAAAAAAAAAAAGTTAATACATGATTGATAAATGTATTTTAGAAAAGACAATATCTATGTATTACAAATAACTAACTCAACAAACTTTTTTAATTTACTCAAATTAATCAATTAACTCTTATATTCCTCCAGTTCTAAATATAAGACCCTTGTATACACTATACAAGGGTCTTATATTTAGGCTTATAGGAGTATTAAGTATAAGGGTAATATTATCAAAGGAATCTTCCACTTGCGCTGACTAGCTACCATCAAGTGAACACCTAAATGGACGTGCATTTGCTGTAAATATGATAATTAAGTCACAGGAAAAATCCCGCTTACTGTATTTATAGGCTAAAAGTTACACATTGTTCCCGACACTACAGTGATTAAGTCATGGGAAAAACCCCCGAACTGCTATGAAAATAATATAATTACCAAAAAGTTTGATCACAAGTGAGTGAAACCGATGTTGCTGTTATTTCATGCACTGGAAATTAATTTTACGACGCATTTTAAAAGTACATTCTTTTCGGGGATGTGTTGTGATTTTTTTAAGTTATAACCATCACGTGAGCCCAACTGATACAAGGTTGTAACTGACACGTGGCTTATCCTAACAGGACGTTACAAGCCGACGCGTACGTGTTTATGTTTAGCTTGTTGTTTTTGCATTGGGCTTCGGCCCCATCTAAACCAAAACAAAAAATTTGATTATTGCTGTCAAACTCATCATGAGTTGACTTTTCAAGTGTAGTGGCGTCATGCTTTCACTTTATAAAATTGTATTAAATTGCTCTTAAATTTGCATTAACAGCAAATTCAGTTAAATTCATGAGCCCACTCACTGAGATTATGATTTTTATGTTTTTAGTTTACAAAATTGTGACAACTTGCTCTTAAACTCATATTAAATTTTTGAATTTAGTTATGTTTAATAACTTTATATATAAATTTTAAAAAAAATTTGTTGAATATGATAAGTTATGAACATTGATAAATTAATTTTAATTATTTAGATTCAAAATATATTTAAATCTTATTTTCTTATTTTTTTTATATTTTAGTTATTTAATTATATACTTTTAATACCTATTTATTAATAAAAGTAAAAAATAAACTCTTAATTATTTGACAACCTGGCGTCATTACAGATGGCTGGCGTTTTGTTTTGGATATTCTCAGATCTCTGGCCACGCACGCATGCTTCGCTGAGAACATTTTGATGAAGATTTAAAAAAGAAAATCAATAGAACATGTCTATAACAGAATCATTTTAGCCGAGCCAACTTCGCAGATCGAAACTGTTCCTCTCTCTCTGTTTTTTTTTTTTCCCCATTCACATGCACCCTCGTTCTTCATGACAATGTTTTTGGAATAGTTACCCGTTTGGAACCCAACGGCTTAATTTGGATTAATCATGATTCTAGAAATTGGAATATTGGATGATGTGCTTTCGCTGCCCCAAAAAAAAAACAAAAACAACAACAAAGTCGCCGTACTACTTGCCCACCGTGCACTGAATGGTGACATTTGCTGTTTCCGTTTCGGTTGCGGTCCAAGGTTAGGTATGAGGGAATCTTCTTTGTGGGACCTTAGAAATTTTGACTACTAATTTGTCCCTCATCGTTTTTGTCTCCTAAAATCAATTTAATCGGTTACTACATCAAGTCATTAATATAAAAATTAATTTAATTTTTAATTAGATCCTAAATATAATATTCTAATTCACTTTTTAAAATAGTCATTATAGAGTAGCACATGTTAAAAATTCTATCAATGATAGTTCTAACTAATATATATGATTAATAAATATATTACAGAAAAATAATACCTATTTATTACAAATAACTAACTTAATAAATTTTCTTAATCTACTCAAATTAGTTAACTAACTAGTTTTTATATCAAAGATGAAAGATAGTACTTTGAAATTATGAAAATAAGCACATTTTTTGTTAAAGAATAGTAGCTAAGTACATAAAATGTCTTTCTTTGTTTTCTTTTTTCCCCCCTTAAAAAAAAGGTGAAAGTTTTTCTCGAAATATTCGAGTTTCGTGGCTAATTTTGCCCTGTGTATTGTTCAGGGAAAGCAGTTGGATTGGAAAATTAAGACTTAATATCAATTACATGCATCTAGCTCAGGCTTGAGGCCAAGTCTCAAGTCATGGACTCAAATTAAAGCTCACGTAATTCACAAATTGACATCATCTTATGAAGCTTACATTGAAAATGCAATGATCCTGATATGATTACAAATGACTTTTCTAGAAATATGTAATCCCCTCATCTGAATTTCTTCGAAATTATTAATTTACGTGCACAGCCTACTCACACTAATCTTTACTATAAATAGAGGCAGCTTCCCGCTTCAGGCTTCAGGAACCCAAACTACCTTGCTTCTTATTTTCTTTATTTTCTTGCCACTTCAACAGCTCTTTGTGAGATGGCAAACCCAAATTACCATTTCTTTGGCGACCAGTGCGTTACCATGACATTTTTTGCAGTTTTGTTTTTAATAGCTCAGACTGGAGCTGGTGATGAAGCTGGTTCACTGATCCTGGAAGGGAAGAAGAAGTTGATAGTTGGTGTTCCTAAGAAATGCGGCTTAATAGATTTCGTGGACTTAAGACTGGATTCCAGAAATAAGAATCTGGTGGAGAAGGCTCAGGGCTATTCCATTGAGGTTTTCAATGCTACAATAGCCCTCCTTCAGAATATTTCCGTCAAGTATATGGCCTTCGCAAACGAAGATGGAAGTTGTGTTGAGGATTACAACGCACTCCTCGAACAGATCTCCAAAGGAAAGGTTAGAGACTATTCAATCTTGTATATGCGTCTTCCTTGTAAGGTTGATTTGATCGAGATCTCCTCAAGCATAAAGTGATTCAAGTGAAAATAGAGAAGATATATACTAATTCAAACGGAATAGTTCATTTTTATCTCCAATAATTCAAAAGCGGGACGTGCACACTTGATGTTCGTTAAACCTGCAGAAAGAGCATATTCGTGTTCTTCTTTATTTCCATGTTGAGATTTTATTCATATATAGTTCTATTTGGTGCCATAACCAAAACTCGAAACACACAGTGATGATAACTCGAATTAATGTCTAACTTTTCCCTTTTTCTTCAACAATGATCAGTACGGTGCTGTGGTGGGAGATGTGACAATTGTGGCAAATCGTTCCAATTATGTCGATTTTACTTTACCCTATACACAATCTGATGTGAAGATCCTTGTTAAGGTTCGACATGATCCACGGTTAGATATGTGGATTTTTGTACGACCTTTTAGTTGGGATCTGTGGTTGTCGATCGCCGTCGTCTGTGTTTTCATAGGAGGTATCATACTATTCATGGAACGGAATGTTAAGCAAGATTCAGGACATGAAAATTCGCCGTTGAAAAAGCAACTTAGTGGCGTTTCTATTCTATGGTTTCCCATAGTCCAAGCAATTCTTCCGGAAAGTGAGTTTGAAACCTTGCTATATATCCTAATTTTACCGTCGTTTCATCGCCATCCTATTTGGTATAATTTTTCTTTAAAAAGTTGTTTATCACATATTTTTACCGCATCGTACAGTTTTGAATGTAAATTTCTATATTATATGCAGAGGAATCATTGGCCAAGAATTGCTCTAGGTTTGTACTCGTGCTATGGTTAATATTAGCATTTGTGCTAATGCAAAGTTACACGGCATGCTTATCATCAATCTTGACAGTACATCAGCTGCAACCTCGTTACCCTAATGAGTACGACGTTCTTAATGACCCCAACATTAACATTGGGTACCAGGGTGGCTCATTCATTAAAGGCTTGTTGCTTGAGAGATTAAAAGTTCCCAAGTCAAGGGTGAAGAACTGTTCAACTATTGAACAATACAAGGAGGCCTTAGATAAAGGAAGCCGTGAAGATGGTGTAGATGCTATTTTTGACGAAGTTCCCTACATTAAGGTGTTCCTCAAAAAATATGGTTCTAACTATGCCATGATTGAAACTAGGCACCGCACTGATGGATTTGCTTTTGTGAGTTTCCATCTCTTAATTATTTATTCTTTATATTTTTGTTTTTGTTATCAAGAGTGGTGTTGTAACATGCATTTGGGTCGATTTTTTAGGCATTCCCCCTAGGCTCCACCTTAACTTCACACTTTTCCAGAGCCATATTGAATATGCGCGAGAGTCCAAAAATGGATGAGATTGAGCATAAATATTTTGGCAGCAGTAACGACGATGAAGGCCAAAGCCGATCCAATCCGTCGTTAGATGATGATGCAAGTCCAAGCAGCCTCACTACTTATAGCTTTGCAGGTTTGTTCATGCTAATCGGAGTTTTTTCGCTGTTAGCTTTGATAGTCTCTGAAAATCGCATTTGGCGAAAACCTATCATGGGAGCAAAAATGTACATCCAACCACTCTTGAGTCGGAGGTTTACAAGAACTAATCCATTAGAGGAAGGTTCTACAAGAAGAAGAAATAATATTATTGATGGGGTGGAAGAAAATATTGGATCAGACGACAGAGCAAATAACCAGGAAAACTCTCTATGACATCTATACATGTGTGGATGCTTAACAAAATAATGGCCTATGTAAAGTATATAATGATGGCACATCATCTCCATTTATAGTTTAGAGTTTATGGGCAAGTAGTCAATTAATTAAGTTGTAATCATGCCCATGAAAACCATGTATAGTTTTTTTCTCCCTTTTGTTTGAGTTTTTCTCCAGACTTAGGTTTGAGTTATTCATCAACTTACTTTTTTTAAATTAAAATTAATTATATATGGTGTATCCAAAACTTCCAAGTTGTAGGGGCAATATTATATTTTATATACACACACTTATAATTGTTCTTTAGGAAGATGACAAAAAAAATCCATTGAATTTCAAAAAGATAAATAGGTCATTATGACTATTCTTCTAATGATTTTGACATGTCAAAATTTATTGAAATTACCTATTTATCATTTTAAAATTAAATATTTTTTTTGTCATTTTCTCTTGTTTTCTACTATTTTGATTTTTGAAAACCAAATAATTTTACTATCCTTAAATCAGGATCATAGATCTAAAAGTATTTTTGAAACAATGTCCAAAAATCTTTTCTTTCATGCATGTATCTTATGATTATATTCGATAGTTGCTCCATTTTTGTTTCAAAATTCAAATTAAGATATAGGATAGGCATTTACCCACTACAAATCACTTATTTTTAAAATTTAAGAAAACCTAATCTAAATGAAGTATTAATTTGAATTACTGTACTTTTTCTCTTGTCTCTCTATTCTTATCTTTCTTTTCTCACTCCCCTGTATGTCCTGTGCCAGTAGCATAAGGACTTTAATTCATTATTGATATAGAAGAAAATATGTATAGAAAGGATTTGGCTTGTTATATTATATTGTTTCTGTTCAAACTTAAGTTTAAAGCAATTATTGATTTTAGTCAAAGATGAACGCACACCGACTTTTGGAAATTAAATTCCCCTCTAGAATGTATTTTTGGCCCGATATTAACTTAGCCATAGACCACGGAAACTTGCCCCACACACGGTCAGAGGAATCTCTAGCTAACTAACTCCCAAAGACATCTATAATCAAAGAGAAAATATAATTTCTGATCGCTGTAGAGATTTATTCATCTATGCAAAACACGCGTGGGTTAAGAAATACTCCTTCGATTCTTAATATAAGATCTAATTATTAAGTTAATTTTAATCCTAAATATAAAACATGTATCTCATATTTATCAATTTTTTCTAAATTGTCCTCATAGATACTCCTTCGATCATAATTAAACAAGTGAGGAAGCGAAGATATTAAGAAAGATGATTATTGTATTTTAGGAAAAACATGTCATTTTTTATAATTAACTAACTTACCTAAATTTTTTAATATAATCAAATTAGTGAAATAGGTTCTATATTAAAGACTGGAGGAGTATAATTCATTTATTAGAATTATTTTGAGTTAACGTATTTTCTCTATAATCATTTCACTAATTAAAAATAATAAATATGAAGATATATATATATATATAAATAGTACGTGATGTTGCTTTGAACTTTTAAAAAGATAGATAAATAAGAACCAGTTTTTTTAAAAAAACTAAATATATATAGGAGAAAAAAAGAAGGGAGCAATTGATTGCATCAGCAATTTAACCATTTAATTAAAGAAACCATTCGTGAACTAATTGATCTTTGTCATTTCAATTTCCCGAAATTAAAGTAGTAATTGCAAGACGACCTACGTAAAATTTAACAGAACAGATTATATTTATAAGAAATTAAGCCAATTAATGAATGATAACTGGCTTGTTACAGCATCAGCTCATGTTTTTAATAATACTGAACCATTCCTCCTTTAGGGTTTTCGGGTTTTGATGAATCTGGAGTGCCTTGATCTAGCAAGTGCAAATTCTTGTTCCCTCCAGAAAGTCAATGACGGAGAATATATCTCATCGTCTTTTGTTTGCGGGGATACAGGGCCCACGTTATCAAGTGAAGACATCTTCGTAAGTTGTAAGTTGTAAAACATCATATGTATGTGAATAAAGGTTAACTTAACTTTTAATTTAGTTTTAAATATAAGAATCTAATCTATTTTATTTTTTATATGCATCTATTTTTTCCAAGATAATTCTTATAGTAGTTGTGTACTTATATATGTTAAAGGTTCAATCAAATGGTAGTTCTAACTAATACATATGATTAGCAATGATAGTTTAGAGAAAATAACTCCTAATTATTACAAATAATTAACTCAAAATTTTTTTAATCTATTCGAATTAGTCAACTAGTTCTTATATTAAATATAGGTGATAATATATACTACTATTTCATGGAAATCAGCATATCAAGACAAATCTATAAAGGACACGTCACTTTATTAGCATCTATACACCGAGGAAACTGAAGGCCACTCTCCTGTTCATGTCCGTTTGACTTGGAGAATTCAGTGTCAACACCATCTGAATTTCGAGGAAAGCGCTTATGATAATTAACTAAGGGTGTGTTTGGATGAAACCAAACCGTGGTTTGGAAAAGTGATTCTGGAGAATAGATTTTGGAAAGAATAAATTTTATGAAAAAGTGATTTTGAAAAGTGAGAGTGTTTGGATAGTTGTTATCAGAAGCACTTTTTATATATACAAATTACTAAAAAAAAGACATAAGTTAATATGATAATTATAGAAAAATAGATTTTATGATATATTTTAATTTGAAGGAATAAAATTGTTAATAATATATTTTTTATTAACATAATTAATAATACATAAGATAATATAATTAATAAATAATTAATATGTATATATATTTATAAAATATAAGATTAAATATGTTTATAAAAAATATGTTTATAAAAAAATAACAAGATACATATCTTATAGGCTCTCACACTCTCTCTTTTTTCCTCCAAAAGCAAAAAATTTTGTTTTTTCCAAAACCATGGTTTTGGCCCAAAACCATGGTTTGTACAAATTGGGTGGGTGTTTGGGTGACTTATCACCCAAACCATGGTTTGGGTCCCTAAACCATGGTTTGGGGTGTCACCCAAACGGTGCCTAATACTACGTGATTGATATAAGAACTATTTAATTAGTTTAAAAAATTAGAAAAAGTTAATTATAGTATATGTTACATGATTTTTTTAAAAAATTTATTTATATCATTAGATTATATATCAATTTACAAGCGAAGCAAATTAGCTTAGAAAATAACGATAAATATAAATACTTTAAATAATTTAATAATTTTTTTAATTTTTTCTAATTAGTCAAATGGATATATTAAGGACGAAAGATAGTAATTAGTAGATGTTATGTACTTGAATCGATATAATTCTGAGGTTCATCTACATGCACTAAGGAGTAAGAACTCTTTTCGATTACCTTTCCTTCTACTATATGTGATTTGGGATTTTTCATTGGCTTTGATGTGTTCTTTTCCCCCATCCATACGAGTAGCTAAATCTCCCCGTTATTATTCGAAGTTGCCATATAATCTATCTGGAATTGATTATATATTAAACTCTTCAATTAATGACATAATTAGTATATATGGCACACACGTCCCAACAAACAGAACCAGTTCCAATACTCATCACTTTGATAAGCACTTTAAGTTTATCACGTCTGAACTGTCTATATTTGATTTAACCAGGTCATATTTAAAATATTTAATTAATTATTTTTAGATAAAAAACTATCTTTTGAAAGAATGACTGTTATCACTATTAAATTCTATATATATTAAAATAACTATTTTGAATAAATAAATATAAAAAAAATTAAATCTGAATTATCTAAATAAGATATAAATGATCTAAATTTAATAAGTTTAAATTGTTTATTAAAATAATGAGTAATGAAACTGGTTTCCCAACTATAACACTTAGCAGGCCAGCACTAAATGGCGTTATTGTGCCCTTTAAAATTTGAGGATGATTAGTTGTGTCAAGGCCTGTGCTGGACTAAATAATTTTTATAAATTTATCTTGGGCCAGGCCTACTTGTCGGAGGATGTTTTTTTTTAAAACAAGCGAAAGAGTCAAGTCAGAGTGTCAGACCAAGCTGTGATGATATCAAGCGAGTTTACATCTCAATCTGACTTGCTTTATATTTTTAAAATTTTGATGAACATTAATCTATTTCATAGAACTATTTTTCTTATTATATCTCAAGCAATATGTCGATTTTATTGTTATAATTAATTTTGAATTTATTTACTAACTGATATTATATAGAAATAATTATGACAGAAATTTTTTTTAATTAGATAATATGTATTCATAATTTTGTACGTTACTTTCAGATATAAATTTCAAAGCAGTGTATTTCATATAAACATATGATATTAATCTCGTGAATTTTTTTCTTCTTAAACTTCTACAATTTCTTTTCCTTTACCAAGCCTAGGTTTGAAATTTCGACCCATAGAGTGTTTCAATTCCAACCAGACATAGATGATGCCTGCCTCGGTTTCTTCTTTGAATACCTATTTTCTAGGAACGTAAGGTCCCCCCCCCCCCCAAAAAAGGGTATTGGAGTTTTTTTAACTAGGAAAATTACATGGTCGCATTTAAATTTTTAAATAAAATTCAGACTTGGGGGGGGGGGTTGACAGGAATAGTTGATTAAATTTTTTCAGACCAAGTCAAGGAGCGGCTATGAGTACTTCCCATAATTGCAATGAAGCTTCCATTGATAGCAATATGATATGCTTCCCACAGTTGGAGGGCGGCCTTAATTCATTCCCAAATCAAGAACTAGCTTGACGTATTTAATCAAATTTTAATATGATTCTTGCTTATTTTCACCCTTATTGATGAGAAGGAACAGTGCAACTCCGATCCTTTTTATGTGGACTAAAATATGCTCATCAATTTTTTATATTCTCAAAGTCTCCTTATTCATACTTTGAAAAAACTCTCGCTCAAAAAATTGGACCTCATAGACCTCTTGTTATTATGCTTTGTGTGTGTATTATTTTGATATCGATATGTTCTTCTTTATATATAAATGTTTATGATTCCAATAATATATTTTAGCCACAGAGGTTGATTATGAAACATATCGATAAAAATAATTAAGAATATACTACCTCCAGACATATAAAAAAATCAGAAGAGATGTGAGAATTCTAGAACCACACAGAGAAAGAGAGAGAGAGGATCTGCATTCATATATATAATTATATGATATATATTTATATTTATATCTATATATGTTGTGGACTATATAAGTAACGGCAACCACACAAACTCAAACCAGGCATCATCTAGTAATTT